ACTGTTTTATTATTCTCCTTTATTGCTTTCTCAAATTGTTTAGTGGCTATTTCAATTCGCCTTTCTGGATAAACATTTTTCTGTAGTTGCTCATCTTGTCTCCTTCCCACTTTCACTGCTCTTCCAAAACTTAGCTTGATACGTTTGTGATCACTACCCAAACTTCTGGAGCCACCTTCATCTATGTGCATTCCCCTGAGCTTATCATACATCCTATGTGACATCAGTGCATTATCTATGGTCGACTGCAGCCTTCCTACCTCCCATGTTATTTGCCCTTCACACTTCTCGGTACTGTTGCAATGATCAAATCAAGCCTTTCACACATATCCATGATCATTTTGCCTGTCGGGTCGGTATACCCATCTATATCTTCTATGTGCGCATTCATGTCTCCTAGTATAATCATCTCGCACTCTCTTCCTAGCTTCTGAATGTCCTTTGATATACACCCTACCATTGCCTGGTTTCCCACTCTGGCCTTTGCTCCCGTTCACAAGTACACAAAACCAAGGAGTGTCATTACACCTGCCAATTTCCCTTTTAGCCATAAATGTGCCTTGCACTCTTGCTTGACCCTTTGCCAGTCTGTACTTTTATGAATGAATGCCCCAATACCACCCCCCTTTCTGCTGCCTTCTGTTCTATTACAATATTACCACGCGTAGTCCGGATTGTTCGGAGGTTGTTCCATGTCCCTGAGATATGTTTCTACAAAACCGTATACCATCCATCGGCCTCTCTTCCCTTAGCTGTTCTTCTATCTCCTCCCACTTCGGCCTGTTCCTATCACCCTGCATGTCAATATACCCTATGTCCGAATTGGCTCGGTGCTCATGGCTACGTCTATTTATGCCCCGGACTCTACCTATCTTAGATACTGGTGCCACTTTGGAATCGTATCTATCCATAGTACCTGTCAAAGAGTCTCCCTGGTTGTTTTCCTCGTTACTAGCTATCCTGCACCCCGAAGGGCCCGCTTGGCCCCCAAAAAAGCTACTGCGTGTCCTGCAAGTCGACAACCCACCTCATGACCTAGCCGCCCATCGAAGTGAATTCTGTCTCGTTGGAAACCACCCCACCTATGTACCTCTCTGTTTATTTCCACCACCTCAAAGCTTTTCTCTCAACTCATCCGCCATAACTCTTGGTTTGCGTTGACAACCGCTCCTTGCAGGTTACTATCACGCACCGGTGCCTCCGATATCGTGCATATCACTAACTGTACCTGAGGAGAAGTGGCGCGCATGTCATCGACGCCTTTCGCCAGTGTGGTTGCTAGCCCTGTTGTATCTTCATTTAAGACATCGTTTGAACCGCCTGAAATTATCACGAGGTTTCGTCTATCAGCTGTAGTTTTGAGTTTTGCGCTCGCTTGCCTCATGACTGCTTCCAGCCTGCGTCCTGGCAATGCCCCTACTGCAACGCTCTTGTCAACTCTTACCCTCTCTTTGATGGCTTCTGTGCATCGATTTATATTCGAGTCACCTGCGATTATCACATGCTGTGACTTTTCAGCTGGAGCGTCCTGCACCTGGGGGCTACTTGCACCTGTGACGTCGGCTGCTTTGTCCCCTCCCAGCCCCACCACTACCTCGCTGAAGCTGGGCCTTGCGACAATTGAACCGGCTGAACCTGTTTTTCCAAACTTGCTTGCTCTTCCTTCCCCGCCGTTCTGGTTGCCGGTTCCCTACTGTTTTCTCCGTAGGCTGCTCCTTTGTTCAGCTTCGCGAGTGCTTCCTCGGCGGACTTCAGTCTTTCTCCCATTAGCCTCGTTTTCTCTTGCTCTGTCGCCAACGCAGTCTCGAGCTCGGCGATTCTCATCAGCAGTTCACTCTGGGCAACCACCATGTTCTCCATTTTTTCCTCGACCTCACATTGCCTACACTTCGCGTAAGTCTCTTCTCCATCCGCTTCTACACATGTGTTCACTTTCAAACCCACTCCACACCCTGAACACTTTACAGACTTTTTAACCATGTCTTTCTGACACCAATTGTCCCTATACTCGATAATTACTAAACTAGAGCCCTGCACTACGAAAAAAAAAGTCTAAGCTCTACGACAAAAAATTTGCGTGTTCAGTGTACGCGCTCCTCCCCCACGGGGTGGCAAAAGAAAAAAAAACAACAAAAAATTCAAACGAACACACCCGCACTAACTAATACCTGGTGACTGGCCCCCGAAAAAGCCGTACCGTAAAACAAGTGCTACGAAGATTTCAACTGCTGCCTAATTATTATAAAGACAAGCTCAAAAGATGCAAAAACACTTATCTGCGCAGTCGATCAGGAGCGCTCAAAAAACACGTCCATCCACCGTGACAGTCTGAACTGAACCAGTCGATGGATAGATGGATGGATATGGCTGTACCCTTTAGATTGGGCGGTGGCTAGCGCCACCAAGCCGTAATACTAAATGAACCCAAAACTATATTTATTTTTTTCTTTAAAAAGTGAGTTTGAGGATTCGTACTTTGCAGTGAAGAGTTTAATTTTCACTCGTGCCTTGACTTTAGCCACCAATCAGATAACCTCCTTCTAGTTAAGTCTACTTGCTTAAAGTCTATTTTTTCCTCATCAGTCAAATGGCATCGGAAGCGCCACCTAGGGAGCGGGAAACGAAAAGGGCCGCGTTCCGCCGCCTCGTCCCAGCGGAGTTTCCAAACTGAAGAAGAATCTAGTAACGTTGTATCAGGCTGATTCGCAGTAAATGAGAGCTTTTCCTGCCAAGCTAACCAGAAAGTTTAATGCGCTTCTTTGCTGTTGGTTCGCAATAACTGCTGGGATATGGCGTGTCATGGAAAAAAAAAACGGGCGGGTTCTTATCCTCCCGTTCAGGCAAAACGCGCTATCTCAGCGAGACTATTCAAGGCGCTACAGACTTCTGCATGCGGGTGCATGATCGAGCAATAATTTTGTGAGTTTTGAGAAGTTTTTCTCACCGCTCAAAAAATATTTACGGCGTGCGATTTGCAGAGTGCCTAAAATATCTCGTTTTAACGCCTCCTACTATTCCTTGCATTATGCTAATTGCTATCATGATATACCAATTAAGAACAAAAAGTTATGTTATTATATTAGGTTATTTGTCTTAAAATAGGAGCTTCAAATATGTTGGTCCTTATTTAGCTAGACTTTGGACAATGTCCTCTTTGTACCATTTCCACTCTGTATTTTTATTTGGAATTTATAAAAATGAAGGCAAAATTGTTTTAGGTCCGTGAGCTTAGATTTAGGTGTATGTTAAAGAACCCCAGGTAATTGATTCTTGTGGAGCCCTCACCTATGGTGTCTCTCATTTGGTACGTTAAATACAACATATTATTGATATTACGTGGGGATTGTGCTAAGTGCCTTTTATAAGTGGCTTGGACTAGGAAAATGCGTCGGTGGCGTGATTGAACGCATATTGTTAAAACAGCTTATTTTTGTATTTTCGTGCACCCGGTGTGTTACAGGTATAACCTCTGCCTTTCGCGAACCCCGTCCGAGTTTTTGGGAGATGTCCAGATTAGTTTAGTGACATCTGATACGCTTGAACGCACAACGAGAACTGTACAAGTTTTTTCGGGAACATGGCCACCAGCGATAATGTTGGAACTTCTAACGCTGCATGATTAATTGCCGATGCGCCTTAACACAGATCAGAGTATTCAACTACCCACCTCTCTCCGCGCCGATATGTTCGCACTTTTAGTGTTGGGCTTTTTACGAACTCAATTTCACCCAAAAATCCGCAGATTGAAAGGACTACAGTTGGAAATAACATTAAGGTGAGCAAGTGCGCATATTCTGTGAGGGTATACTCAGGCGGTGTGAGAAACGACTGGATGCATAAGCAGATTAACGATTGTAGAATCAGACAGAAAACTCTGCACCTTATATAACACGAGGGTTCCTTTAGCAGGCCAAAGTCGTTGTTATTGCTGTCTGTTTTGAAAGGGTAGAGGGTTCCTATATTTATGTCTATGTTCCTGTTATTCATTTTTTAACTGTTCGTGCAACTACTGATAAGACACTTTCATAGCAATAAAATTTAAGTCAAAGAAATTTTCTTCTCCAGTATGATTTCGTTTCAGCGCCATGTTTTCTTGGCAATGTTTATCTCCTTTACAACCAACTAGCCCAATCAGCTACTTCACCAAATAGAGTTTCTTCTTTATCAAATACGATTGTTTGTTTACCGTCAGAGCCACGTGAATTTGTGGCTCTTGTCCCATACCAGTGCTTTGTCCCATACCAGTGCCGGGTGGGTAGCCTCAGTACACGAGGATGAAAAAGTTGGGCGAACTTGAATACATTCATGGTTAACAGCGCAAAACGGCGCGCAATAAATAGGAGACCATACGACCCATGTCACCTGATCTCCTTTTGTATCCGTGTCCTTTTGTGCTGGTAACCATGAACCTCAGTCGGCACGCAGTGCTTCTTTATTATTAAATCTGGTTTTTGAGTAACATGAAAACGATTATGATGTATATAAATATAGAGGACTCTTCATTATATTTTACGGTGTACAATTCAGATGAACTTGTGGATATCAAAAATGTACATCTTGTTTATACCTATTGATTAAGCGATATACTAAGCCCAATTACTTACAGGCTTGACAAGATATATTTGCAAAAATGCCCAAACGAGATGGGTAATTTCTCGGCACTTACAATAGTTGATTTATATAATTCAGTTATTTGTTTGCAGAAAGAAAAATAGGAAAGCACATTGTACGTATGTCCCTTACCATCTGCCCATCCCATAGAGAGCACTACTGTAGCTCCTAGGTGCACCTATTTTTGCGTTGTTTTCTTTTAATTATATGCCGCCACTTTCCTTCAGTAAGCGTACTGTTTTTATGTTGAAAGCCAGTTTGCCATGATGAATTATTTAATCGAGTGGAATAAGCAAGTTTCTCATAAAGGTGATGTGGTCTTCAATAAAGACGAGTAAAAAACAGGACTGGTCACTTTAAAAAAATATGCGGCACCTAATAATCACACCTTTTGTAGCCTGCTGCCGGGAATATTCCAGCAGTATTGTTTTATTGAGAAACACATCTGGCTGAAAAAACAAAAACGATGGGAAAATAAAATGGGAAAGCACACGTCGTTTTCAGGCACTCTTGGAACCCGGCAGATGTGGCAATATAGTCTCGCAAACTTCACAGATTTGTTTTGATGAAGCATCTTTATCACGAGACGCTGTGGGTACTCTTGTTCGGTTCCTCTTGAGTCACAGTCTTTCCTTTTTCTCTTCTGAATTAAAAATTCGCACTCATTTTGTAAATAAAAATTTTGCTTGTTTTCTTTTTTGGTCCTTACTACTTTCATCCTGCTACTTGATCCTAGTGTATATATAACAAAAGTAAAGAAAATGAACAGATTAGACACTGATATTGTGAATCTAAGCAATATTTCTTGACTATTGCAAATATTTGTGTAGTGTAGAAAGTAGCTTACTTCGTTCTAAACACCTGAGGAGGACAACTATTCCGAGGCAAGTATAAGGTGACTTCTGCTTTGCTTTGTCAGCAGTACAGCTAATAATTTTCTTGGTAATCATCCACTGGAATAAGTGAGCTCGACAAAGGCAACGTTAAAGAAAACGCCACTAAATATTCAGAAAAGTCTGTCGGGCGTTGCGATCACAATTGTTAAAATTGGCGCTGAATCTACTCGATACTCTCATTGACTACCAATTTATTCGTGTCCTCAAAGCCGTAAAATCACCCATGTTATGAATGAAATAGAAATATTCACTATAAAATATCTTACCGTGATACTTCGATGACTCAGTGAATGTACTGCCATGGTGCCATCACTGGCCCTGAGAGATAAGGCCTAACGAAGTTGAAGTTTCGTTCATAGTTTGGGAATGCTGCTGACAGCACCGGGCTGCTCGCGTATCCATCGAATCCACCTGACATGGTTGTTTGCTCGGGCTTGATAATCTCTCCTTCTCGGAGCGAGCGTATCACGTACGTCGTGCCACTTTTACTGCTACCGCTGGCAGCGATGGGGCTGCTGGCAGCATAGAACTGGTGCTGTGTGCTAGGACTCGCCGTCTGCTGAGCGGGACTGCTGAGGTAAGCCCGTGGGTAGAAGTAGCCGCTTGGAAAAGTAGCCGCCACCGTGGCTCTGCCTGTCGATAGCAACAGTACTGCCGTACATGTCAGGAAAGCAGCTTGTGTTCTCTTCTGCGGAGACAAGAAACATAAAAATAAGCGTTTCGTGATGCATATATCTATATTTAGGGATCGAAAAAGGCTGCTCTGAGGCGTTATTTTTCATGAGGGGAATTCCGCTTGTAGCCTGACTATCACACGGGCGAATGTGAGACAACTTGAAGCACAAACCACACGAGCGTGAAAATCCACGTGACGAAAACAGGGAAGCAATAGAGGAAACTGTTGCTGAAACTCTAGTTTGGGTGACCAAACACACTTGCGAGAGGGCTTTGGTGACGCATCTTCAGTGAAGCTGGTATGAGAGTGGCTACTCTGTATCGAAACTTGTGTGATGACTGTACGACTTAATGTAAAAAAATATATTACACAGTTCGGAGCAGCACAATGTATGAGGGTGGCTACTCATACTGAAACCTGCGTGATGCCTGTACCACATAATGCAAAGAAATATATTATACAGTTCGGAGGAGCACAAATGTTTGTGAATGTCACACATGACATCGTTTTTCTTTTGGTTTGTGTGAATATTTGCTTATTTTCCTCATTTGTACACGTGATCGTTCAGCGAGCTTCCCCGAGCGCCGGTTACAAGCAGTAGTCCACCACTGCTATTTATCCTGTTCCGGCACAGCGCCACACCACGCTAAAAGGCTCTTTCATCACTCGACGCGACACTCGTCACTCTCACGTGGATTTTACGTAGCAGTGCCCGTTTGCAGCTGCGGAAAGGCGTCTATAGCGAGCTCACAGCATGTGCTCGCAATCTCACAGGCTTTGGTTTGTAAAATTCAAGGTGGCGGGTGAGTACCTCCACCGTATCATCTAACAAAAGCGCCAGAAACATGCGCTTTTTCGTGCATAGCGTTGCATTGTCAGTTCAGCGTAATAAACGCTAAGTTCCTTAGAATTATTTACGTATGCATTTTATAGTATAAAGGAACACTCCACAGATAATGACGTGTTGAAATTGTGCCTCAGCTAGGCGCAATAATTTCCTGCAAGTGACAATACACAAAAGTATGAACGCCGAAACAAGATCAATATTGGTGCGCACTGTGGTTGGTTTTCAGCCGTTTAGGGTGACAATAAAGTCCTCAAGCCAAAATGTTTGCGTTCAAGTATCGTAACAAAGACTATCGCATTGAAAAAAGTAGAAACGTTCATGAACCTTCGAGTCACCTAAGGAGAGGTAGTCTACGAGACCACCCATGTCAGCCAACTCCATGGCTCGTTTTATGACCCAAAGTTGGGAATACGGGTGGCTAGACGACAGAGAATTTATTGGCCTATATTAGAAAGGAGGGGTCGTTGCTTTAGGTTAATGGCATACGTCCGGTAATTTTTCTTTTAAGATATTTGAAAACTCCTGACAAATTCTCCCTATTTTGTATGAAGTTTTAGTGAACATAAATAACGAATTCAACTTACGCCATCGCTCCTGCCACTCAAATGGACGGTTAACGATACTGTTTGACAACTTAGTATAATAGGTCAGTTGAATGTACTTCATTCGTGATTGGCAGTTCACCTAGAACCCTCATCATTCAGCATTCTAAAGAGGAACATTGTGTTATGCATCTAAAAAAGCAGCGCAAAACATGCTCGACAATGAGCTCACAGGGGAGGGTGGCTCAGTTATAACTGAACCATAAAAAGCGTGACAAAAGTGAAGATTTCGGTGGTAACTGCTTCATCAAACAAGAGATGGTCAGTTGCGACTTGTTCGAGTCAGCATTGGCACTCTAAATGTTCTCAACAAAAACAAATCTACTCCAGAGAAGAAAAGGAACCTTATTACAGTAAGTGATTGCATACGTATAATAATCATGACTATAATAGGGGCAAAACTCATTTCATGCCGCAAAACTCATTTCATGTTAACTTGAGCGAAGATTTTATTTCATTTTCATTCAACTGCACCCTGCGGCGTGTAACGTTAACAGGATGCATTTGATACGTACCTGTTAGGTTTCAAACATTGCATGAATTGTTCTCACTCGCTACTCATCCGAAATGGTCACGTGGCTTAAGCCCCGTCGGGGGCGAAGTGAAGAAAGATTGAAAGATTGCTACACGCGTTTGTAAACACATCCTTGAAAGAATTAAGAATAGTGATGATTTTGCTGTACGCACACGAAATGGGGAGTTCCCGGTGCCTTCATGATCAATATTGCATAACTTCAGCGTACGTGCTACCAAAACGGATTTCACTAGCATCACCGAAATTTCTTGAAAAAATGTTTGCCACTAAATATACTTATTAATTGTCGAGAATATGAAATATAATGACCCTTTCATTACGAATAGCATTACAGTAAATTGAGTCCTGATATTACCGCTTCTTTCCTCCTAGAAGAAAAACAAGGCAGTCATGCAGTAGTATAATATTAACGTAACTGTGCTTGCAACGTTTAAAACTAGAGCCATCTCTGTCATCAATTCAAAGTATAAGCTTAGATGACTGATCTCAGAAAACCGAAAAGGAATTAGTCTTGCCCGTACAGAGTAGTTAATAAAAGCAACAAAGTTGAAAAGTTTAAATGAGCGCTTACCCCGTAAGTCATAGTGAGGTCTCAATGCAGATTGCCAATGTCCAGTCCGAAGGCCACCAAATTCAAGAAAGAGACTGCACGTACCTGGACCAATCTTGAATTGAAGCTCACTCGGGGGCCAGTCCACTCTTATATACGTATCACGGAGAAGCGGCTCATGTACATCTCTTCTCTCGCTCAGTCCACTTTTGCATCGGTGAGCGTCAGAACAGAGAGTAAAGAAAAAACAAGAACAGGCGCCAGGATCGTCACGTCGCTCAAGAAAACGTCGCTTCGTGTTTGCGGCTGGCGACCCTAATGCGCACGAGTTGGTCGTCGTCCTGCCAAGCGGCTCCGGTCGTCTCGCGAGACGCCAGCAAGCAAGGCTCACGAGAATCAAAACCAAGGGGGCGGCTCGCTCCAGCAAGCACCGTTTGTCTGTCTGTACACTAGTTCGCTCTTGGCCCCGAATTTGAGCAGCATCTGGGTCAGCTCACGGCTTTAGTCGAGCCAGCTTAAAGGAGGAGCCGCGAATCGCCGAGCGACCAACACGAGCCACTGGGCGAGGGTGGTGGTCGTGAAACTTCGCTGGAGATGCGTCCCGCAGCTGCCGGCAAAGAATAACGCGGTGAGCACGCGCTCAATACGTGCGGAGCGCCAGACCGTTCCGAAGTAGAACGGAAGCCCTGGACTCATCACTGCCGTCGATCCGTCATTGCTCAGTGTGTACGGTGGTCTTCGACGTCCGTTCGTGATACGAGCGACTCTTTTGTGCGTGTACCATGTGCCCCTACCCTCTCACTATTTCTTTTTTGCATTTCACCTCTCTAGCCACACTCCCTCCGAATCGCCTCTGATTGTAGTCATGCGAGCATCTTTCTTTGTGGCCTCCTTGTGCTGCTTTGGCCGCGTGCGCGACCAGCCAGCAAGCCCCGCGCCTTTCTGGGGCGATAGGGAAACGATGTTTGAACCGTGCGCTCGGTCAAGTGCGTCCGAATCGGATGAAGGGGCGTGTTCCGAACGCGGAAGTTATTTGGAGCCCTGACTGACAGTCAGCTGAAGGGCTGTGTTTCATCAACCCGCAGAGCTCTTCCAGCCTGGTGCCGACTAGTCCCCTTCTTCACCACCGTAAACGAGGAACTGCACTTCGCGTAGGCATGCTGCCCAATCTGTCACGCCGGCAGGGCAGGACGTGTCTTACGCTGCACTCTTCAAATGATGTAGCATACGCCGAAAGTTCATATTTAGGAGCTGTGGCTATCTGGCCGGTACAAAGAGCTTTATAAAAAAATTGAGCGAAATTTCTTTGGCTGTTCACAAAGAAACGAAAACAACAACAACCAAAGAGACACCAAGTAGTTTTACCAATGGTGACCACGATCATACGGGATTAGGAAAAGAATAGGGCAAGCTAGAAAAATCGCAAACATTATTATTATTATTATTATTATTATTATTATTATTATTTTGTTTCGCACTTAATATCATAATTTTTTGCTTTCAGGTTTCCTTTCTGAAGTATTTTGTAGGGCCGCAAACTGCAAGATACGTTCGTGGTGGACACTCACACAGCAGGTTCTCACTGCAATATGACACAAGTCCTTTTCATTGCTCCTTTGCTGCATCAAACGAAGGAAAGACTATTGGAAAGCCCGTGAACTGTCATCCAAAAGCTGACCCATATGAGATAAAGTCTGAGTTATATGTAGATTTAAGAATCATTTTTCGGGACTGTACAGTGATCTTCAGTCGAACAGTTTTCTTTATAGTCGAAAAAAGTCCAGCACTGTGCACAATGTATCGTAAATTGAATATTGTTATTTTTCCACACCTTAGAACTCGACGCGCGTGGACGTCTGTACAGATAATACCTGCATTGTTTTTGCTACCTACTCCCCGCCACGGTGGTCTATTAGCTAAGGTACTCGGCTGCTGACCTGCAGGTCACGGGTTCAAATTCCCGGCTGCGGCGGCTGCATTTCAAATTGAGGCGGAAATGCTGGAGGCCCGTGTGCACATGTTTGGGTGACCGTTAAAGAACGCCAGGTGGTCGAAATTTCTGGAGTCCTCCTTTACAGCGTCTCTCATAATCATATGGTAGTTTTGGGACGTTAAACCTCACATATGAAATAATAATTTTCGCTCCATGATTATGAAACACATTTACCCCGACTGGTATATGACCAATTTGTGCAAGTATTGTAGTAATAGGGCCCCATTAGCGCATATACTCTGGAAGTGTCCAGCACTGATTGGCAAAACGAGAGACGCGGCCTCCAATGAGGACCCACGGGAGCATTGGCGGACTACGCTGCTCAGCTCAGGACTAGATAATCAACTCTGGGCGATCCAGCTGGCCAAAAAAGCTGCTGAGAGACATGGTCTCTCAACCAGCTCCTAGGTGGGAAACCAGCCCGGCAACCTGCAGGAAGTGAATAAAGCTGTTCACTCACTCACCCCGACACTGCGTTCACTGTCAGAGAATAACCGATGTTGTTATGCGTTATGAAAACTCGTGGATTAGTTAAACAACGGGACGCTGATCGTAATACTCGTCTTAATGCGATCTTTATTTCGAAGTTAGTCAGCTGATCACATAAGTGGCTGCACGTAGACCGCTTACTTTTTGCCAATAGTTTCGAGCAAAGATTTCACTGTTATCATGGTAAGCTTCTATAAAATAAATATTGTACACATTGAAAGCTTCGTCATTGTTGTCTCAAGCATGGTATTCAATCTCCATTGCGGTCCAATTTGGAGTGTAATATTACGTATGTGCAAATTGTAGATGAGGTAGGGCTGTTCCAGCTAAAAATCTATTTTAACATATGGTATAGATTCGCTACTTCTACAGTATAGACGATCTAAACAGAAAAAAATCTGCTATGAACGACTGAGAAGTGAAGGCAGCGACAGATCAATCAATTAAACTCTTTCAAAAGCAATGTGGTTCAAACATTGTAGAAGTTTTAATGTCCTAGAACTAACTTCTAGGCATAGGTAATTTGTTTTCCTGAGTGCGTGATCGTGACGTTATCTATGTATAAAGCTTCTTGGGAAAGGTGGCTAAACGAATGTCCTCAGCTGTCGACATTTGTGTTTTTCATTCACTTTGATGTTCAGGAAGCTATAACCCGAAAGCATTTGCATTTGCTTTTTTTTAATTTGAAACCTTGCCGTTATACTGTGATCAAAACCCATATATGAAGAGCTAGACGACGTTTTAGTACCGTGGACTTATATCAATCTTCGGGTTCTTCGGTATGTCGCAATGCTGTCGATTACAGGGGCACTACATAAATATTTTTTTCTTGACAAACATTGCACATGTTCCTTAATCAATATGGATGGCTAACATGATATGGGAAAAGTGGCAGTGTTGATGCATAAGTAAATATATAGGGACCTTCAAGGTGAACAGAGTGAAACATCACAGCTTAGGTCTAGTGTGGTCGACTGTGGTTCTGGACTCGATCATAGTGAACTCATTGGAGGCCTCCAAAACCGCTGCTGAAAGGTGCTTGACACTTAGGTAGCAAGAACTGGGTAACCAATTACCCAGTTCCTGCTACCAGTTGTTGCCACCTTTTTTTCTCTCCACCTAAGGGGGGAGAGAAAGGATGACAAGATGTACAGTTTTAGCTGAGTAATCTGTGCCTTCTTTTCTGCATAGACTGCAAGCGGAAGTGAAAATGCAGATGCAACGCTCAGCCACAAGCACCCAAGTAGACCCTCGTCATCAGTTTTCTCGAAATTTAGCCCAATAGACCATTAGGGAGGTTTAGCGACGCGACGAGCACGCACAGGAATTCTATATGTAATCCTCCGCATACCCAACTGCACGGCAAGAGATGTACCCAGATGACGGACGGCTCCATGAGCAACAGCCCGCAGCGTATCTGGCTAACGAAGAGCATGTAGATACAATGAACAAGGAAAGCAGGCGACAGAAGATGAATTATATTTATGGTACTGCTACCTGAATGTCGTGCATCAATAGGATGTAGAAAGCCGTCGTCATGTGCTGCATGACCCGTAATTTCTCAAGCAAAGCTTGTGCCCATTTGAAATAAAGAAATGTTTGCCTAAAATGCCTTGTGCAAGGTGTAAAATGAAAAAAATTATGCAGGATACAAAAATAATACCCAGAGCGTGTAGATAATTTGGCTTAGTATATCCGTAAGTTAGCCGCATCCCTGTGACATAACGTTTGCGGTAGGGACATAATCCTAAAATTTTGTATTTCCCTATCAGTTTACATCTTTTCAATTTTTAGATACTCCTAACATTTTATATGATCTTGTTAAAGAAACAGAGTACGATGTAAAGAATGATTGCAAATTAAGTTTTATGGCTTTAATAAAACCGGTGGGAACAGTGTCATCAGGCAAGGAGTCCATCTGGTGTGCTGTAAAACTTTGAAACTCTTACCGAGAGTCATCTAGCAGCCTTTATACTCCTATTCATGGTTGCTCGCACTTTTAAAGTTAACCCTCCACACGTTTACCGGCCATGGAAGTGATTACTCATCCTCTTGTCAATCTTATTCCCTTGTGCAACACTCCGACTAGGTCGGCTCTCTTTTCCTCCATGTTACTCCTTGTCCGCAGTGGTTAACAGGTGCAGTCTAACCAAATGTTAGATCAAGTGATCTGAAAAATAGCAAAAAAAGGAGTGGAAAAAGAGGTAGTTTTAAATGGTTCTGCAGATGCACGATAAGCAAGTAATTGCAGTAAATATATATCCGACGTAAACGCTCTCATTATTCCGGTATTAGCTTGACCCCACCGTACCAATTATTCGGAGAAAGCACATGAATTTGTTCTGCTTCACTGACAATGCTTATAAGCGTTTACTAGTCGTATAAAGTAATATAAAGGATTCTTAAACCCGAAATCTACATGTTTTGCAAACTACAGCGCAACCTTTATCAAATGTGATGTTACGTCAGCAGAAATTGAGAGAGGGCACTATAGCATTAGGTACCGATGTGACAATATATCTTCATTTATCGAAGTTACAACATAAAATTTTCAAGTAATATGAATTTGAGCCAATTGTTCACCACAGTGCTGAATCAATTAAAATCCAGGCGTGCCTTGTGCACAACAGCAATAGAAGAACCTTAAAATGATGTTTTTTTTTTCATTTCCCTGCGTGTGCTTAGCTGTAGAAATGCAGCCAGGATAAAAAATAGCCGGTTCTCCACATAATTATCCGCGCTCAATAAAATCGCCTTGACAACGTATGGTAATACTGAGGTGCTGCTCAGAAATTACGTCACTTATAGATACAATCTCTGTCTCTTCCACTGAGAATTTAGAATCCCCTAAATAGAGAACCTTAAATATAAATACAGGATTCAAAGAATAATAGCGAAGCTTTGCGTTTCACGGGAGAAATTTGATGAAGTTGTGGTAATTCAAATGTGTTTTTTTCTTAACTTTTCTTCAATTAGAGAAGCTACGTATAGAATGATGACATAGCTCATGTATGAAAAAATGGAATGATGTGTGGTTACTTCAGTAAATACACTTTCAGTAGTTAAAATTTTGAAAGAGTAAAATAGAAATATAGTATAAAATTAGCAGGAAAGCACTGAAAGGATGTTATCTCTAATTTAACTGTTGCGAGATGACGTATGCCTTCTTCAAAGCGTGAGATACTTTTTGAACATTGGTAAAAATGCCAGATAACATTACTTACTGCTTATTCAAGATTCCATTGATCCTTATGATTTCATTTTCATGTAGCTGCAAAGGTCTTTTATACGAGAAAACTAGGAACTTTATCTCTTGCGTTTGTTAGAAAATATAATTCTTGGGGTAGTTTGTTTTTTCAAGCCTTATATGGAATTTTTATAATATATATAGTAAAGTGTTTATGGTAGTGGCATTTGCTAGGACCACTGCAATAATGGGTTTTGTTGCACATTTTTTATGTGCGCTGGATATAAGCGCCGGTTATGATCGTTAAGAAATAGCGACAAAGCATCGACCTTTTTTTGTATAGGATGGGTCGATCTGTTGATTGTCCTGATACAGGAAAGTCGTTCGGTCCTAAAGAAGTATTGTGAAGCTGTCACACAAATAATACAATTGAGAGAACAAGATGCTGCTTTGTAATGTGATGTGCAATGTGACATCAGAAGCCTCCATTGCAGCTTTCAATTTTATAGGTTGCGTTATTGCGATAACTACCTATTCTCTCTGAAGCTGCACTTTCACGCCTTGGTGATATGAATCATTGGCTTTTTTGCATATGACCAATAAAATCGTATGGATCAAAATTCAAAACAGAATTATGCTTGTAGTTGGGCACCAGTTGTCCAGATATGTGAGATAAGGGCTTGTTCCTTATGTATTTTTATGAAACAACTGCAGCGAAATCTCTTAAGGAAAGAAACTAGTATGTGACAAAAAGTACAAAAAAGATATTATTGGAAACCTCAATTAACTATGTAAAATAATGGACGCATATTTGTGGTGATCTCGAAACTAACTACCATAATTTACTGAACATAGACTTGTGAAAGTGTGAAAGAAAATTATGCTTGAATGGGACCTTCCACTTCAGAACCACTGCGGCTGCAGGAACCCTAGTAAAAGAAGAACATAAAGTAAGAAACAAAGGACACATTTGTTGCATATAAACATAATGTATTTGAGCTTGAAATATTTGGAAACAAGGAAACGTCTCATGAATCGATCTACGAAGTTGAAATGCATAGAGTCCCGGGAAAGCAATATGTCACAATTTCTTCGTACGCAAACACACCGGAACGTGTGCCTCGAGAACCAGCTCATATTGCACAGATCACAACAGTTCATCCACACGAGGGGGCGGGCACGACCGAGCGTAAAACGCTTGGTCACGGGATCGGGGTGGCTCGCGTGCAAATGTCCATCACTCACATCCACCAGCCGCTGCCGCCGCCTCCTCCGCTGCCGCCATGGCCACCACCTCCGCCTCCGCCACCATGACCGCTAAAGAGACTAGTTAGGCCGCTGAGGTGGCCGCCCATACCGCCAGATTTGCCGCCTCCGCCACCGCTGCTGCTGCCCTTCTTGATGATGATGTATGTGGTGCCAGGCTTACCACCACCTCCACCGCCCATCTTCCATCCTCCGCCGCCACCTCCCATCTTCCATCCACCTCCTCCGCCTCCCATTTTCCATCCACCACTCCCACCTCCACCACCCATTTTCCATCCGCCGCCGCTGCCGCCGCCACCTCCCATCTTCCATCCACTGCCGCCGCCTCCACCCATCTTCCATCCGCCACCACCACCTCCTCCACCATGATTCAGCACGACGGTTGCCATTCGCATCCAGCCAGGAGCTCCACTGCCTCCACCACCACCCATCCATCCGCCGCCACCTCCACCTCCCGTCTTCCATCCGCCACCCATGGGTTTCCAGCCACCACCGCCGCCCATCATAGGCTTCCAGCCGCCTCCCACCATCATCATTCCTCCTTTGCCTGGCGCATTGATAGGGTGGAGCTCTTTGATGAGGTACACATTGCCAGTTCGGAACTTGTTCTTCATGGGTGACCCCATGCCGCCCTTGAAGCCGCCACCTCCTCCCATCATTTTCCAGCCGCCGCCACCACCACCGCCACCGAATGGCGAGGCCAGTGCAATGGTAGCCGCTGCTAACGCAACTGAGGTGGCAACCTGCATAAAGAAATAATGATCAAATGCTGATGGCAGCATGAGTTTCGCTTCTGAAGAGAACTAAGAAGACATTCTTGAAGATTTCGTTCAATAAACAAGAAAGTCTTGCTCGGTAAATCACCAGCACTTAACCACATTTGGAAAAGAAATCGTGCATTTTCTACACCTAATTTTGCTAGATTGATAGTAACAATATTTAAATTCAGGATAGTTTAATTTGCACTAAAGATTAGGTCTACTTTAGAGTTGCAATATAGCGCATTTGCTGGTGCTTTAGATAAGCACCAGGTGAATGTCTCCTCTCCTATTCAGGCGTCTCTATTTGTAACAAAATAATAACATTGAAAACAGTTTTGTTCTTGAGCCTGATTCGGAGCAATCTGTTCCATTTTAACCCCACTATGCAACGAAATCACTCGTCTCTTCTCTTACGAGATCTTCATATACTATTTGATATCTTGCTATCTTCTACGCTGCCTCGAAGAACACTCAAATAGAAAAAAGTTCGCATATATTATTTTTTGTCATAATCCAACATAAAATATCCCAAACAATAGCTATTTTGATTGCCTAGTAAATAAGACACAATAATTTACACGGAAAAGCTGGCGGTTTGAATAGTCACACAACTTAGTCCTTCACAGAGCGCTGTCCAAATCCTGAAGTCGGTCAGGTGGCCAGGATTTAGACGGGTACTCCTGAAGATGGCTGTGAGAAAACAAGGTTTTGATTCCTAACTCACCCAAAGCCTCATGTTTTCAATGGTTCTTGGCACCGGAGGAGCCAAAGCTGGAAAGCTGCTCGACTTCAAACGGCAAAGTGCGGTGGCTTTTATACCTCGCACCTTTTTCAGAAACGCAGACAAAACTACGCCCGTTTGTGCTAAGTCATAAGGCTTCCATGCCGTTCCTATTGGCTGGTGCGCTTGTCTCTCTCTCGCTCACTCTTTCTCTTCGTCTCTTTCTGTCTTGTTTCCCTTTTTGTCTTTATTACTTTTGTTGCAATTTGTAGACTGTATTTCAACGTTGTCTTGAAGCCCACTGGACGTTACATCATTAAAGTCATGCATTCTCTCGTTAGTAGCACTGGGCTCTCTATTTTCGCCCTCTTCTTTTTCTTTCTGGCTTTGGCACTCGGCCAAGAATCCTTGAAAGTTCTCGCACGGTTTTAGGCGATTTGAGCGGCAGCATCTAGCGGTGTTTCCTTTTTCTGATTGGACACGCGCAGCCACCTCAAGGTAGCCACGTAAAGCTCTTCACGCGTCCCCAACGATTACACGATCTGCAGGCAGGTACAGCGCGTCAAATGCACGACCCCGCCAAGTCGCGTCTACACTTGCCGCCATACTCGGAGCACCCGTCCCGTAATTAAGGTCGACAGCAAGCACGCCCCACATTGTCTCGACGACGGTGTCTTTACAGGCTATGCTCCCTGATTCACGGGGTCTCTGGCCGACTCCTTTGTGCCGCGGTTGGAGATCAAACGAGAAATTTGGGACCGACAGAGCCGAGCTATGAAGTGGCAAAAATATCCGATAATACCAGACCATAAACACCTCAGCCACCAAAGCTTCGAGTCTTTATTGGCCATGGGCTCCGACTGCAAGACCCTATTCGTTCGACCGGTACTTCTGATGACGGGAGTAGCCGGAACTCTTTCCTAGGAAGAAAGATCTTTTGAGTGAATCTCTACTGACACCAAAATGAGTACGGCCTCGATAATAGATTTGACCCAACAGAAAAAAAAACGTTAAAAAGCATGCTGTGCATCCAGTGTTGCAATTTTTTTTGTTTCTATAAAAATACAGTATCTCCTTTTTCTTCAGTTTATGGCTTGGCAATTGACACGTCGGGTATCACTGCAGGCTGGGCTCGCACTGCGCCCACTACAAGAAAAGATATCAGAACTAATTTCCTTAGGCTCATCTCACACTTGCCACGACGTTCATTATATGCAAATATAATCAAGCAAGAAGGAAAGTTGGACGAGTTGGCAATTCAATTTTGGAAAAGATACAGAGAGTAAAGTGTGCGATTGTGTTCTTTTCACCCGTTTTCGATTCCTATGAATTATTCAAAAGAGAAACCAGACAGAATTAGTTCTTCAGTGTTTTACACAAGTATGCGTACAGACGGCAGCTTAGTAGAATTTAAAACTAACTGATTGAGCAATTAATATTCTGTTTATACTCTTCCGTTTTTCGCAGATGTTTTAGCGCAAAACAACACCACCATAAAGAAGACCAAACACAGCGTTCTGCTTTGTGTTCTGCCTTTTATATTTTCGGGTCGTTTTTGCTAAAAACACTGTGGATTCACGCTAACTAGCCCACCAACGCATTCTCTTCAATGTTCTTTTCGGGCATTCTTTTTCACAGAAGCATTCTCTGAGAGAGTGAGAACTCGAAATTTCCCGGTATTGGAGAATTATTACTGAAACGAAACATAAAATCTCTGTGTTTCAAGCATCGTGATACTGATTGCATTGTTTAGGTGAAGGGGTAATGTATGAAGAATGGCTGGGAGCGTTGCGCACATTCTGTACGGGAAGCTGACGCAGACAGAGAGAACCTGCGCCAACGGGTGCAATGACTGCGCCTCGAAGCATGGAAATACGTTCACACATATTTCGAAGTGTTGACACTTTTGATAGCATTCATGTTTAGTCTACCGTTACTGTATACACTGTAAACCAGTTTGCACACTCATGGGTGCTTGATGTGTCTATAAGTTACACAATAAAATAGGTGTGTTGACAAACCAAAACATCAATGATATGCGTGTTTCGGTTTGTCAACACACCCTTATCGTGGAGTTTTATAGATGCGCAAAGCACTCTTAAGGGTGAAAATCTGTTTACTGTGTACATTTGAAAGGCTGTACAGTATTATTTACGCTGATTTTTCAACAACCACTTGAATGCGTATTTCCTTTTTGCTAAATGTCTATGAGGAGATAAGCCGTCTTATAGATCTCTCACTTTGCTTTGTCGGTGATACAGTATTCATACACTTCCTACTTTATTTTTGTTTTTCGGTACTTTGACGAGATTAAAGAAAAGCTCCTCGGAATTTTCCACAAGACAAAAAAGAAACAGCCACCTAATGCTATTTCAATATCTGCCCTTCATATACAACCACTCACCAGATTATCAGAAATGGAGAATGAGATCTGAGCAGCATTATCAGGTAGTCAGTCCTACACAAAACTTCACAGAACTTCATTCCGACCTAAGTGACTATAAACCATGTTACCATCAACGCAAGCAGTTTACAAAACTTCCATTGAACATTTGGCAAGCATTGAATAACGTATAAGTCACTGCTTCCAATAGCATTGAGTGGTATGTTTCCAGGTGATGACAGTGCTGCCTGCACATATAAACTTGTGGCAACAGGGGCTCTTTTTTCAGAACAAGGTGCGTCATCTAACATAAGGTTGCCTCTCGAGGTTCAATACCACTTGCATGATTCTAGGTAGACACCATATGTTTCTAGACAGTTCAGGTAAATTAGCAACTTGTCTACCTCTTCGTTTCTTTAAATTGGTTATTCTTGCGTTTTTGTTGTCACTCATAATGGAAATTCATTCATATTAGCTGTTGTTGAATTTATGTACATCAGCTCATTGCAGTGACCCCTCACAATAATTGATTGATTTGTAGGGTTTAACGTCCCGAAACCACCATATGATTATGAGAGACGCCGTAGTGGAGGGCTCCGGAAATTTCGACCACCTGGTGTTCTTTAACGTGCACCCAAATCGGAGTACACGGGCCTACAACGTTTCCGCCTCCATCGGAAATGCAGCCGCCACAGCCGTGATATGATCCCGCAACCTGTGGGTCAGCAGCCGAGTACCTTAGACACTAGACCACCATGGCAGGGCCCCCTCACAGTAGCCTTTAGTTCTTTCATATTGTGTAATTCCAGCTTTCTTTTCTACAACGTGTTCATTTCATCTCTCGCTAATAGTACAAGAACATACACTTGAATATTTAGGCTGTTTTACCGTAATATTGTTCTATGTGGGCAAAGTTCGTTTTTTCTACTTTTTTGTGCTTTCAAATCTCTTATGTGTTCTTGCGCCACTTTTAGAATACCATGTATCGTTCAAAAGATTTTTATCATGAACTATTTCAGTATTTGATTGGTTTCTTTATAAGTTGTAAGCTTTTTAACTTTCATATGACTGTAGCACTCACTTATCAAACCAGCAGAAGACGAAGAACACACACAGGCTCTAACCTTAAGCAAATGATTTATTTGAGCCCCGATCACATAAGGTAGTACACTCAGGAAATGAGTGCTAAGGTATACGTACGCTTTTTAATGAGTCTTTTTTGCGGGTCTGACCTGTGACTAAACTACTATAGATCAAAAATTGAATCCAAAACTATATATATTGTCTTGGCTGAGAATGGGTTAATACGCCATCTCCCTCTTTGACAAGAGAGGAACTACGTTTCCTTGATGTCACTGTACATCATCACGGTCAAACGTTGGTTTTTCAATGTATAAATCTGCGTAATCCGGGTTCACGTTTATATATTTTATTCAACGTTACAGGTTTTGTGCGTCTCTGTTTGTATTTTCCCGTCTCTAAAAGTATGTGCTAGCCAAAAGTCATTAGCGGGCTAATTGGCTTGCGTTATTAACAAAAAGTCACAGTGTCTTTTCAGTTTTCATTTCCACAATTTCAGTAGAAACAACAGTTTTTTATTTGTTTTTTTTTGTGTGTGTGTGTGTGTTCGAACTTATCATGATCTTAGGATATGTCGTACCAGCAAAGCCAGAATTGAGCCCCTGCTTATCACTCCGTCTGTGTTTGGCTGTTCATGTCTGCGTTTGTTTTTCACATCTTTTAAAGGGTTCATAGGGTTTGTTTCACTTGCATGACTACTACTGAACCAGTTTCTATCACAGTCATTTGATTTTATCAAATATTTTATTCTATAAAACAATGTATCTCACTGGAGCCTCTACTGACAGACACTTCTTTTTTCCGTTTTGCAAGATTTCTTTTACACTTAGGCATAGATATTAAGAGGAACTACCAGTGAGCCAGATGAGGAAACATGGGCTGTTCCAAGCTTTGAGCATATATATGTCTATGCTACTGGAATAAAGAAATTGGTAGCTGCAGAGCACACTTTCTGCTAAATAACTAATAATTGAAGTAGCTTTGTGATGCTTTTCCTACACTTCGCACACAGTAATGCCCTATTCTCTAATGGCTTTTAGCAGTTTGCCTGAATTTCAAGGATCTATACGGAGTGCCGCGGTGCACTTGTGTTGGTAACAATACCTTACGACTGTTTACATGCAGAGATCTTTGGAAATGTTGCTGCTTGAAAAATGAAATATTCCCCTCCTCTTCATATAAGATTGTAACAGGTCTCGGTGATTACCTGCGGTATTTATGACGTTTCGCTTCTAGCGAGTGAACACTGAGAAAAATGAAGAGCTGTCATACTCATGACTCCTATATTTTTAGCGTAATGCAAGAGCTCATAGGTCCGTTTCATGGTGATCAGCTACAGAAATTGAAACTCTGGACAATTTAATCTCAAGTAATTATGTACTTAGCTTCATAATCGATATTTTCATTCAAAAACACTCTTCTGGGTCCACCTTGCATTGTTGCCAATCTAAGTTCACTTGTTATTAGCCTGGGGATTGATAAGTTTTGACATTTTCTATTTTTCACATGTTGAAAAACTTGTGGCAATCTCAGACTATTATTGCGCAGTTGGACCGTTGATCCTGTCATACGTACTAACCATCTTGGCAGAAGTATAATATGATATGATTTCAGACACGGGGTTGGGCTCATTCATGGCAACACAATGTCCGATGATATCACCAAGGGTGGGTGTGCTCAGGTTGATCACCTTAGATGACTTTATGCATAAAATTAGCAGCAGTGTATTTGTAGAGAACAACGCTCTGCCAACAGGAAGCCAAGAGCATGTGAAGTCACAAAAGAGTTCTTGACTCTCTGTTCATCCAGCAATAGTCTGTACGGAGGCAATATAGCCACAAGCAAAGATTTGAACCGTGGTGCAGTGCATGTTTTAGTATCCGAAAATGATATGCCAGTATAAAGCGAGTAGAGCTACCAAAACAAAACTATATTCTTTTATACAGTAATTAATTCAAAATCTTTTAAGATAACTACAACGTCAATTTCAATTATTATTGCTCATTAACCTTCTCTCTCATCTCACAGGTTCATCGGCGTAGGACAAATTTATGTGCGAATAAGCCTGCCATGATTTTGATTCAGCTTTTCTTTTCGTTTCTGTGATTGAGCGTATTTTTTTGCCAGTTATATTGTAAGTCAAGAACACTTCAAGAATATGACTAGCTGTTTGTTCGTCTTGATGTATCATAAGCAATTCCCCAATTCTGTCTCATAGAAGTGTAATTAGCCTGCAAAGCAGGTTGTTGCTGCAACGAGCACTTATGAAATGTGAATTAAGTTCTATTTGGACTGGCAACACCCACATTCACAATGTGTACGCCTTTTCTTTTAGCTTCAGCAGAAAGCCACTAAAATACTTCGAGGTTTTGGATCTTCAATACCGTAAAAAGACTAGTCTCCTTCACCTCAACGCTACATCTCTAAACCTCAGTCACATCAAAGATGCTTTATATCATGTGGAAGACAAGGCCCTGTCCAGAGGGAGGGAAACAGACGCCCTCACGCCGAGCGAAATGCAGGAAAAGAGCTTTACTCCAGAAGCCGGCCAAACCTACCGCGTGCCGTACAGGGTGAGCGCGTGACTGCGACAGAGGCAGGCCAGTCACGTGGTCACCGGTGAATCACCGGGAACGGTATGCCCTTGCCGTGGTGGCTGTCCGGCTCGAGCGAAGGCGAATTCGGCAATGCGCCCGCACGCATCATCGGTGCATCCAGTGATGTAAGCTTGATTTATTCACCACCTACTGTTCCGTAGAGTGGCGTTCGAATGTTTTGTCGTAGCTTCAGCCAATCTTGTAAAAAGGAGTGAACACGAACAATGACTTCCTGTTCATTTCTTCTATTCCTGACTGTGTAAAAAATGGATATTTTATGTGCTCCGAGTGCTCCTGTCAACATGTAATTCAATGCCAAGAGTCGATTCGGCAGCATATGTTATGGTCCCCGTCAACAGCGCACGTATGTTTTTGCCGACCATATTCTCCCACCTACATGGACACAATGCAGAAGATTCTGTGACTCATACACCCCGGGAACACGCGAGAACGTGTGCGTCCGTGATAAAGCGAACGCGCTTTCGCGCAAGCAACTGTGGCTGTGCTTACGCTATGCTGTGGTTGTTCAAATCTAAACACGTGCCTTCCCATGTCATTATGTGAATATAAACAACTATATGTGTTTTTATGGTGATTTGGGTGTAGGAAAGACTGGCAAAAACAAAAAAAAAGATTATAAACGCGCAATAATTTTGGTGTGCTAGTTTCTCCTATATTCACGAGGAAGCTATGTACATGACGATGCCAGCCCTGAAATGCAATTTGAAATGGTATATGCCAGCTTCTGCGAACAGCTCAGCCGGCCAACCACGCCCGAGCTTGTGTAGCACCGAATTACGCACAAAAGAAATTGTGCATGAGGGAGGCCTAATGAAAAGCTTAGCAGCGACGAGGTATCTTATGGTGTCAGGAGAAAACGACAGAACTACAAACATATACTATGTGTAAATTGGCTGAGAATGGTGCCGATTTCCGGAGATTTGCTTGGATTTTAAGTCCGAAAGTCTCTCATCTCTTTGTGGAGCTTTGTGTAGCCTTGTGTTGGCATGAATAAATAAATTTAGTGAATCTTACGGAACCCTTATTGTCACTAAAATAAAACAAATTTACCTTCTAACTTCTTTTTTGGCTCATTTTTAACATTATAGACGTTTGACCACGGCCCATCAACTTCGTAAAATGGGGGTTCAACTGAATAATCATGTTCGCAAAAGCGCTTATATGTAAGGGCTTTCAAGAAAAAGTTCTCTACAGAAAATATGGCTTGCAATAATTCATTAGCTTCTCAGCAGCAATAATATACTCGATCATACATGAAATCGTAGGAAGCTCAGTGTGCCCAGGAAAACAGTAGACAAGGCTCTACTTTTTACCTCCGAACCTTTCGGGACATATGCGGACCTAGCGCACTTGATTAGTACCCCAGTGCCAAGTTAAATATATAAGGACTGCCTCTGATATGCATATAAAATTGATAATGATGACAGGTTTGAGTATGCTACCTCATCAAAGCATTTTATATGTAAGCGTATTTTAAATGAAAGTGTAGTTTACTTCTTCTAGTGTGCTTCTCTTTGTTATATCACCAACCCAAATTTAAATTAAGTCAGCTTATTCACAATTGGCTGACAAAACGATATGCCACACGTAAGAAACATGCACTTGAAGAAAATGAAAAAAATAGGTCGGTATTCGTCTTCCACGCATGATAAAAGAGCATACTTTTTATCAACTTCAACAACTCTGGAAGCGGTATGCCCACAGGAAACAAAGTAACAATTGGTGCAGCTGGTTTAGTTTCTACTGAACTTCTATTGCGATATATATAACATAGACATTCCAAGCGCACTTTGGTCATCGCCTTCGCAATCATCTACTTGCCTAAATCGATAACAATACTCCATGCGTTGTATATGTTTTAAGTGTGAGTGAAAGCGCAAAAAAACTCGCGACAAACGTGGATCAAGAAGAGATAAAATGAGTCGGCTTTTCACTCTGAGCTAAAGGGCCATAGAGGAGTGATCGAGGAGGGGGCAGCTGTGAAACTACGACAGGAAAAGTGGAAATTGACCAACCGGGCGCCGTCGCCTATAGTCGGCATACTGTACGTATGCCGGGGACTAGCTCAAAGCGCATACCTCTGTACGTGTTGTGTTCTCATGGCAAAGCTTTTATTGAAGTCATGGGCAGCGTTAAGGCAGCGGCAGTGACCACGTTTCCTTACGACACGTTTTTATGCGAGTGACGCCAGTTCTTGTGCTAACAGTGAGCTACTAGCTTTACTTCGTGTAACGTTCCGCTTTGTTGCGGTCGCATTCATTGCTTTGTCCTTTCTGCGAAACTCTTGACCTCTGTGGCAGAGTGAGGCACGATTGATGAAAACGAATAGGACAGCCGCTTTCCTGTATTCATCCTTCAATGAAGATTACGCATTTCTTGATGATCAGGTAGCACCTACTCTCAAGGATTGCCTTTAACTTTTCGCTCCCTATGTTTGATACGCATGCAAGATTACCCACCTTATTCTACATTATCGACCCTGCTCTCTCCGAATCATTCTTCAATATGTAAGTTAGCGTTTTGCCTACGTTTGTATTTGGCTAAGAAAGTTTCTGTATACTAGGCTACGACACAACAGGGTCTAGATATTTAGTCAATATTCATGTTTCCGCAAATGAAATATGCAGAATGCGTATGAAGACTGATGATCATATCTCAGAACACTCCGTCATGATCTTATAATGCTTGTGATTCTATACTATTGAGCCGCAGATGGTGGGATAACATCCAGGGCACGATGGACGTATAATGTATGGTGACGAAAATGCTTCGGACCCTTGTACGTTCATTAATGTTCCTGTTAAACAACTCCAGCGGCAAAAAATTTCAGTCCATTCATTACGGCATCCTTCAAAGGTACATTGGTATTTTCGGATGGTAAACCGGAACAGTTATTAGGAGTGTATAGTGTGTCAAAATAGAGTGCTACACGAGAACTTACCAGAAGTTGCTTTCAGCCTAAATAATATACAATGAAATCTCATTGGTACGATCTGGCATAATACGTTTTTCTTTTTATTCTTGGCCAACATGCCTGAAAAGTAATGCATTTTCATTGGTTTCATTAGACCACAAAGTTGTCCAAGACTTCCTGATACGTAGACGAAAGTGGGTCGTCGGATAGGGGATACCTAGAAAATCCTACGTTTTTCTTCAGCAAACTGACTCAAACAGCGTTAACAGCGTTGCAACAAACCATGACCTGAACGTTTCAGAGCCGCTGAGGCTGCAACCCCGTCGGTTTTGCATTGAAACTATCACTTAGCCGCTAGGTCTAATGCTGAAAAAAACAAAGCGCAGGGGAGCTGGACGAGCTACTTCAATGTTGCTAAGTTGAATTTAATGGCTCATGGAGTTTGGTAACACAATTTTTACTTTTAACCTCTCTGTCTATACATTTTTTTTCTTAATGACTTTCATTATTCAGTTCCAGTGATAAACATATCAATGAAATTTTATGGTACACCCAAGCATAACATTATTGGAATACATTAACGAGCAAGGTTCGTTAGTTGAAACTATGACTATAGCAATTTGTCACGATAACTTTCCCGGAAAATTGTGAAAACCAGCTTTGCAATAGGCGTTTTTCACGATGATAGGTCTTAAAATTATTGTGATATTTCTGACGGCAACAATTTATTATGAACTGGTGACCAGTTTTATGCCACGCTGATATTGCAAAAAAAGCAGGTTAGAATGCTATGAATGTTGTTGAAGAACTTAAGCAATTTTCATCATAGTAAAAATGTAAAGTGAAACTTCAACTGTATAAAAACGGCTGAAATAACATGCGTTACTCGCTGAACCCTTTTATTTAAGCTTTTCCGGGTTGCTAATGACATAAAAAACTCTTTCAAAGGTTCCATTTTAATGGTATAGTGCGCCTTTAAGCATTTGAAGTGTAGTAAAACAAATACCGTCATGAGCGAAGGCTAGATTTCATATAAAAACAAATAAACTATTTCCAGCAATGCGTCTTCCTGCCTCCATCTGCGATGCGTATTGATCATCAGCCTTGCTCGATATTCCACGCTGTTTATTAACAAGAAGCAGCCTTGGTTGACACATTGGAATTGAGTCGTGCCCCTTAATTGCAGGAAATGTCTGATTGGATCATTTTACAA